TCCCATTTAGGAAATCTGCTTCATAGTTCGTCAAAACATGAACATTTACGTCAATGTATAAATAATTTTACTGTTAAAAGTAATGTAACATTAAGAAATTTTACATTCTCCTCATCTAAAGTTAAATATAAATTATTCAAAACTTATTGTATGCCCCTGTATGGGAGCCAACTATGGGATTTCTCACAAAAGTCATTAGTAGAGAGTTTTTAAGTAGCCTGGAGAAAACAGGTAAGGAAAGTATTCAACATTTCCCCAAGAACCCACAATAGTTTATTGAATATTATATGTCAAGATTTGTCAATTGAAACTCAGCTTCATAAACGTTTTATTAAGTTCTGTCATAGTATTATACATAGTAGTAATTTATGTCTTCATATATGTGGACGTACTGCGTTGTTGGGAAGTCAGTCTACTATGTGCAATAATATCAATTACTTATCATATCATTATAATATAACAAAATACAATTTAGAACGTAAGTCATTGTTAAATATTGTAGATAAAATAGAATGTCATGATAAAAGTTCCTGGAAGGAAAATGATAAGAGAATAGGAAATGCTATACGGGAATTCATAGATTTAAGAGATTGTTCACCATCTGAATATATAAACTTAAATGAAATAATTAATCAACTCTGTATTAATTGAGAACTTGTATATATTTATATGTATTTATTGTACTTAGTGTACGAATAAAATTTATTATTAATACAATAAGAAATGTTTTTCATCTTCTACTAATTGAAGGTTGCAGTTTTTACACAATCTCTTATTACGAGGAATAAAGGGTTCACTGTATCTTCCCTTTTCAACTTCCAGTTTATGTGCACTAAGTCTAAATTTACTGAGTGCACCCCTTTCATCTTTTTTCAGTGCACATAAATAATTTTCCATGTTATAAGAATTCTTAATATTATAATAAAATCATGTTTTGAATTTGATTTCATATGTCCATTTAGATGCTTGACAGTCTTACTCTGGTCAGTGTGTTTCCAGGACTGGATATATATATCATGTAATCGGGTTTTAAATAAGTGTAAAAAGAATTCTGTATTAAAATTTTCATTTTTTGCGGCAGTTAATATTTCACCCATTCCTGTTTCCTCTAATATAACTTGTATTTGATTAAGCCATTTACTATTAGAAGTCTTCATCTCTGTGATAGCTAGCGACATTAATGAATTATATATAACATTTAACTTCAGATTCTATCCATGTCTTAACCATTCTATATTTCACATCTAGAAAGAGAGGAAATCTGCCTAGTTCAGCAAGAACAACTGAGTTAGTAGCCTTTTTGTGAATTTTCAAAATACTCTTACACAAATTAAAATGTAGCTTTTCAATTTTTAAGGTGTTATTAATGTTTGTGTTAATATAATCACCCCAAGCATCACATGCATACAAGGTAATAGGTCTGACTAATGAGTCAAACAGTTTAAATAATATATGAGGCGAAACATTAATATGAGAAAAAGCTTTTATAATCTTAAAGTATGCCTTCAATGATTTATCCATTAAATACTCAACGCCTTTACTAAGAGAACTGGATGACTGAACTTGTGATACCTAGATATTTGTATTCACTAACATTTTCAAGTTCAGCATTGTTTATATAAAATTTCTGGAAACATGTCTTGCCAAATTTATTAAAGAGCATAATTTGTGTTTTTTCTTAATATTAATCTTCATTGTTTACACAATGTAAACAATGCACGCGCCATTCAGCCAATAATTGACGCCGCGTGCTGTGACGGCACATGCAAATGCAACCATCTTTGACAGAGATATTATTCTAGACTATCGTAATTCTCTGTGAAACAGATTGAGACATTGCAATACAACCAATGTTCTCTTAATCTTAATTACTTTAATTAAGTTGATAAGGCCATATCTGACTCAGTTAATGATTTAATTACTAGACCACCCATATCTTTTGGATGACCAAGATTTCTATATCATGTGCTTGGTTATAAGACACCCAGGTTTAACGATACAATATCTAACTTAATTAATGATTTAATTTGATGACCCAGATTCCTATATCATGTGTTTGGTTTAAAGATACCCAAGTTTAACGATACTATATCTAACTCAATTAATGATTTAATTACTAGACCACCCATATCTCTTTGATGACCCAGATTCCTATATCATGTGTTTGGTTTAAAGATACTCAAGTTTAACGATACAATATCTAACTCAATTAATGATGTAATTACTAGACCACCCATATCTCTTTGATGACCAAGATTCCTATATCATGTGCTTGGTTATAAGACACCCGGCCAGGTTGAACGATACTATATCTAACTTAATTAATGATTTAATTACTAGACAACCCATATCTCTTGGATGACCAAGATTCCTATATCATGTGTTTGGTTTAAAGATACTCAAGTCTAAAGTTACTTGGTCATTAACTGAAATCTAAATATATGGACCAAGAGTCGCTATATTACAATTATGACTTATTAAACGAAACTAGAATATACTTTTGTTTGTCAATTTTATCATAAATCACAATGTGTCCATATGTTAAATAATGTTGCATGTATATTCTTGACAATGTATACTTTGGTTACTTAAGGCGCGTATAGTTTATAATTTTGCATGAGCTGGGAAAAAATTCTTAGAATCAATAAAATGCCATCCTGTCGAGACAGCCAGGCGAACATGTTATCCCACACTAGTAGCGTGGGTCAGTTGTTCCCACTGGGATATTAACACCGATCAGTCAGATTTCTTCCATAATATTTTTATTTGTTTATAATAATAATAATAATAATAATAATAATGACTTTATTTTCTGACGGAACATATTTAGTACACTAGTTCTAATATTCAACATGTCCATCCTACTCTATAAAACTAGCAACTACACAGTAATAATATTTACAAAGTGCATATATATCATATTATATAATTAGCTTATAATAAAGACATATCAAACAAACAAGAAAGAAAGAAGGAAAAAAGGGCAAATAAACATACATTTAGGGGACAACAGTAATTAACGTGTTTTACTAACTCCTTTTTGGAGATAAAACTTGAAGACACATGTTTCACAGTTTGAGGTAGTTAATTCCAGAATACAGAGGCGGTATATTGGAATGTTCTTGTCATTGCCTTTTTCTTACTTTTTGGAATTGCTAATTTATGTTGACTTTCTGATCTCAATGTCATGGTATAGTTTCAGTCAATTTATAATTTTCACAGAATGTGTTATATAAATATGTAGGCAATTTGTCTCTTAGAATGTTGAAGGTGAACATTCCTTGGTTGTATTGAATGCGTTGGTAGATTGTAAGCCAATTTAGAGATTCAAATAAAGGTGCCGAAAGTGAATCAGGTTTTTCATCCAAAATGCTCCTTGCCGAACGCTTTTGAAGTTTATACAGGACCTCTAGTTTACCTTTATTGGCATTATCCCAAACCGTGGAACAGTAATCTAAGTATGGTAAAATATAGCCGTTGGAAAAGAAAATTCTAAGATGGTGTGGCAAATAAGGTTTTATCTTTGTCGGGAGGTAGTTTTTGGAGGATATGAAAACTACGCTACTTGTCTCAGTGAAAGACCTTATGATCCAACGAGCATGCGTTAACCATTCGGCCACACAACCCTCCTGACTATAAAGAAGGCAAGGCCCTACAGTTACATTGACCTGCAATGGCTCAAGGAAGTTTTTTTTTCATCACCCACCATCGATGATTCAACGTATTGTTTTTATAAGCAATTATGTAAGATTTAGGTAAAGAGCTGTCCGTTCTTGCTGAAATGAAATGAAATGGACTTTAACATCCTACTGTTCTGTTCCGACTGGGTTATTATGCAGACGGACAATCATACGCCATGCAGTGTGCTATGAGCGGCACGATGGCTTACCTTTATATCTAATTCCAACTGCCAAGGAATATTTTACATGCATGCCAATGTATACACATTCGAACAACTAGACAACTATCCACGTCAGACCCCACGTCCTGCACAACTGACAAGGTGAAACTACACCAGAAAATCCCGATGAACTTTCTTGGCCAATGCAGGGATCGGCTAGCGCCAGCGTCCCACCCACTTAGCCACCATGCCCCCCGCCATTGTCTCTCTTTCATATTTAAATTAAATCATTAAATGGCCGTACCGTTCTAAGCTAGTTAAAATCGTGAGTATCCGATGTTGTTTAGCTCTTGAATAATGTATCTTTAACAATTCAAATTTTACATAAGTATTCCAAATATTTTAGAGAGAGAGAGAGAGAGAGAGAGAGAGAGAGAGAGAGAGATGTTGTTTATCATCCACTCGACAGAAACTAGGTCATTTCAGGACTATCATGTTGTACAATTTCATTTAATAAGTCACGTAGAGGTCTTTAGCAATGACAATTTTTCGGGGTCATTTTGGCACACTGTAGTCCTTGGTGCTTGTTGTACGTCTGAATAGCACCATCAACATCCAACAGCATTTGTTCTCCTGGGGCAGTACCATAGGACTTCTCATATAACTTCCTGTACAGTCTGTAAAAAAATATAGAATTGCAGTGAGAAAAGGACACGTAAACGCTTCATTTTTACATACTTTCGTGTATAGCAACATGTCACAATCAGCTTCATTTTTCTAAAGGACAGTCTGTGTCAATAGTTAAAAGCTGTTATTTCTTCCCCTACACCAAGGTAATGGAATAACTGTTTGGAGCTGAGTGGGCTGAGGTTGAATAGGTAGCGCGTGCGCGTTGTATCATAAGGTCTGTCATTGAGTCAACTGACGTGGTTTCGTTTCCACGGTTGTACGTGACAAGGAGTAGGGTCGTCTGTCCAACCTCGTCGTTTTTCTCCGGTTCCTCCAGTTTCATTCCACTGCTAAAGACCCCTATCTGCAAGACAATTATTGAAGTAAAATTGAACAATATGTTAGTCCCGAAATAACTTTGTCTTTTGCTATTGATATTACCTGTGAAAAAACTGGCAATCCGGGTCCATGCTGCATTTGAAGGTCCAACTTGAACCTGTTGAGAGCGGATTCAGGGGAATGACCTCTTGAGAACAAATTCTTGAAATCTTCAACCGTTTCATCAGAAACATTGCGGTATTTCAACGAGCCTGCAATATACACGGCATGATTATACGTGGAGTTGATTCTTATCATTGTGGCAAACTTGGGGAGATGCCGGTCGTTTATCGTGGCTCTGGAAGAAAGATGGATCATCAGACACTGAGCATAATAAGAGAGTTTAAGTTGATTTGCACTTGCAGTTAGATTTTCTTTTGAATCAATGCGGTCCTTCCCACTCATCATCTGCAGAATGCCCCTAGTCTTAGCCCCAGCTTAAGTCTTGCTTGGAGAAACATACTGGTACTGAACGTTTGGGTATGTAAGCATAATACCCCTATTTCACTGACTTACATGTATTACACAACAACCACGGAATTCGTTATTATTCTATGATTATGGTAAGATGTGTTAGGCCTACCTCGTGTTAATTAAGCTATTTTCTTATTAGACCTTTCACCAGTCACTATGTAAGAATTACTGACTTGCTTCTCTTAACTACGAATCGCTTCACGGTCACAAAGACTTATACTGGACAAAGTGTGTTCTTTCTGTTTGTCATCTGCTGCTCTTGACCTTGGTATAGTATTGTGCTGTCATCTGTAGTTTATGGCAAAGATATTTATGAGGATTTGTCTTTTTCACTCTGACAGTGATTTTAGTTTAGTCTTCTCCACATAGTTTTCCTTCCATTTCTTAGCTTCTGTTTCCGTTGTGATGGCCACACGGATATCTGCGATGAAGCCGCCAGAGTTATGTTGTGGTGGTGAGCAAATGTGATACTCATACCCATCAGGAAGAAGGTCCCAAAATAAAATGAAAGAGATTAAACAGATATATTTTAGCCTAAAATTGAAATTTGTTGGATTTTGATTGGTCTCTCTTTGCAGTGGCAAAAAATTCTACACCTCAAAACTTTATTCTAGGATATTTTCATGAGATTTTGCTTATATGTCATCAAAATTAAAATTCAATTGTTGGCTTATTTGAATGATAATAAGTAAATGTCATTTCAATTCTATTTCTATGGTCATTCTGTAATCAGACTGGTCAAGTTCGAAGATTTTAAACAAGTGAATAAAAATACTACATTATATACTCATTATATTGGCATAATATTCATATTAGTGCCAATGGGTGGGATACCATAATATTCATACTAGTGCCAATGGGTGGGATACCATAATATTCATACTAGTGCCAATGGGAGGGATACCATAATATTCATACTAGTGCCAATGGGAGGGATACCATAATATTCATACTAGTGCCAATGGGAGGGATACCATAATATTCATACTAGTGCCAATGGGTGGGGTACCATAATATTCATACTAGTGCCAATGGGAGGGATACCATAATATTCATACTAGTGCCAAATGGGTGGGGTACCATAATATTCATACTAGTGCCAATGGGTGGGATACCATAATATTCATACTAGTGCCAATGGGTGGGATACCATAATATTCATACTAGTGCCAATGGGTGGGATACCATAATATTCATACTAGTGCCAATGGGTGGGATACCATAATATTCATACTAGTGCCAATGGGTGGGATACCATAATATTCATACTAGTGCCAATGGGTGGGGTACCATAGGCGGTATTATAGCAAATAGCATCATCATTAGGCAACCTAGAACAAATTTCATAATGACAGCCAGTGCACCCCAATACGATAAATATGTTGTTTACTACTTCATAGTGGTAAACACCATATATCCAAGCGGTAACAAATACAATATCCTCCAGAAATACGCTTCCACTTTGATACACAATATGACTGTAGCTATAGTAAGTAATCATAATATTTCTGCATTCCTTTTACGTTTTGAACCATTCCCCAAAAATCAGAATATTATTTTCAATTATTTAATACGAGGACGCGTGACCATTTTGTAGTGTCACTCTATAATATAACCAACAATTATCGCTTTAAATGTCTGTGTTGGGTCGGCCATATATACTTGCTAAAAAGGGTGAGAGAGAGAGAGAGAGAGCGAGAGAGAGACTAGGTCATTTCGGGACTAACATTTGGTTCAATTTTATTTCAACGCTTAGTATGTTAAATCAATATATGAAATAGTTCTCCTGACTAGCATTGGTAAACATCAAGGTGATTGCATATAATATGATGAATTAAATGTTGGCCTAATTTGCAGCTTATAGTTATTTTAAGCCTAGCTCACAACCGACCGTACGTGCATCTACGGCTTATGAGCTAGACTTAGGAAAATAATTTAATTTTTTGACAACTGAAAAGATCACAAAGACGTAATAATACAATTTGAAACCCTGTAAATTATAGAAACATAATGTCTAGTTTAATTTTTAAAATATTGTATCCATCTACTGTGTTGTATATTATTAAAATTATTTTAGTTTTCGCTTATAAATAATATGAAATATAACTTCTGGTATTTGGAACATTTTCTGTAATCTTACAGGAATAGATATAATACCAAAATATTTAATTATTCTAGTAACATTTATGTATAGATTATTATTGATCCATATGTCGTGTAATTTCTGCCATATTGTTTGGGAATATATACTTTAAATAAATAGGTGGTGTATATTTTCAATTACTTAGGAGAACATTGGGTGATAAAGTATGTGTTGATTCCAATAGATTAATCTGCATTCTCTAATCTTTTCTGATTTCAGACAATTTGGAGTATGGTAAAATGATTGATGCACATTACAAGATATGGAAAGACCTTATATGCAAGTCTGTGTTTTTTTTCTTACAGTATCATTAGCAGCGACGACAAAAAACAACTGGAGCGAAAACAAAGTGCCGACGGCGATCATAATGCAGCTATAAATCTTGTGGACATACTCTTTCAAACAGGTCACTATGTTTCACCCAGAATTATAGCTGCAATGAAAGGGGCTTCTCACAACAACATGGCCGAAAAGCTCGGGAATGCTTTGCCTGCTAATAATAGATAAACTTCAATATTACCAAATGATTGACAATAAACATCAAATAAAGCCCAAATGTTCTTTAAATCTATTTCAGTTTTCTTTCCGTTTACAAGCCGTATTTCAAAAACTGACTCATGGGCGGGGGAGCTGGTGTTTGGTTGAGTTGGGGGTGTTGGGTAGTTGAATCAAGAGTCGTTAAAAGCTTTTAAGGTCTGCCATTGACTCAATGGGCGTGGTTTCGATCTCTCGCGTGAAGGCCTACATAACAAGGTGTAAAGTTGACTGTCTGACCTTGTGGGATTTTTTTCTGGTCCTCCTGCATCCTCCCAATGCCAAAGACACCACTGCTGTATCATGTTATCGCCATAAGAACACGTGGTGGCTATCTCAATCTATATACACAGGTATACAGTAGCCCATTACTATATTATATTTGTTGTAGTTCCGAAATGACCTAGTTTGTGTCGAGTGGACGTTACTGTAATATGACCAAAGCAGACATACCATCACTAACCCATACAAAAATTATTGTTACCGTAACTGTGGGGGCGTGGCGATCGTGGATTTTGCAACACGAACAAGATACAACCATATTTAGTTTGTTTTCTGCACAGCTAATGGATTCCTAAAGCAGACATACCACCATTAACCTAGTTATACAATAAGTCCCATACCACTGATTTTACACCAGGAACACGACCCACTTCACTTCAACAGATTAGAGTTTTGGCGGGGATTGTTCAACTAGTACTAAAAAGGAAACGTATTGAAATTTGGAACAGCTTAACGATAATATGATCATGTATTTATGTTTATACGCCAACGATTAATCATCCCCCCCACACACACCCCACACACACCACCACCAGATCAAAGGCGTGTCGGCACCTATTTGCGCCGATGTGGTCCGCCTGATAATTTTGAAAATTGGACTATATCGCAAATGCTATCTGTTAGAATACTGATATTTCGATCACAAAAGCAATAAAATGATTTGAAATTGTAACAGGGACATATGCGGTATGGTTATAATACAAACGCCCTTTCAACCAAGTAATTTCCTACAGTTTGTTAGTTTCTGCAAGGAAATCTATTCTAGAATATGTCTAACCAGTTAAACCATATAAAGAGCCCAGGGGCGGAAAGGTCTAAGTCACAGTTTTATTCCATATTTGGGAAGGAAGTCAACGGGGTGCGCGGAAAGAAAGTCACAGGAAAAACACAGGTAAAAAAGTCACAGTAGGTCGGTCACAATACTTCCTCTGCATGACATAGTCGATCGCTTAACACAAAATATCCATCAAATTTCTATCGTGTTTTGGGGTTGGATGGCCGAATGGTAAGCACGTGCGCGCTGTATCATAAGGCCTGTCATTAAGTCAACTGGCGTGGTTTCGAATCCCCGGTTGTACGTGACAAGAATTAGGGTCGCCTGTCCAACCTGATGGGTTTTCTCCGGGTCCTCCGGTTTCCTCACACTGCTAAAGACCCCTACGCGCAAGCGAATTATTGAAATAAAATTAAACCATATGTTAGTCCCGAAATGACCTAGTTTATGTCGAGTGGACGTTAAACTCTCTCTTTCTTTCTATTGTTTATTACATGTGTTTGGCAACCAAATAAGGTTTTTATTCCGTATTTTATTCTAGCATAGCACACTGTACATGTATGACGTATTCACGTCTTCATTAACCCAGTCGTAGCAGAACAGTAGGACGTTTAACCCCATTTCATTCCAATTTCTTTTTGGTTAGCTATATTCCGCAGTTTGTTAAAAATCAAAGAGCATAACATTATTTTACGAATGGGATTGGGTCTAATGTCTTAAGTCACCGCAATATTATTAGACAATCATAACTATTGTAAGTTATATTTCTGGGGTTGCATGTGCGGTGCTGGTAGGATAAGTTTGCCCCTGCTAGAGCGTTTTTCGTCAAGGAGGGGGCGTGTTTGTCTAGTGGTTCAATGCGCGTGAAACAATTCAGTCAAGTGGCATGTTTTCGACACTCAAAGCACATTTTCCACGACCCCATGTTTTTCTGACCCTCGGAGCTTAAGGGTCGTTACAAATTTGCTGTAGTGCTTAGCGACCCTCTGAACTAATTTCTGATACATAGCCATTTCCTACCCTTCATTTCCGATTTTTTTATAGCTAGAACCGTTGTGTCGAACTTAAATTTAGTTTTCCTGCTTTGTTTTTCTTTTGTAGGTAGAACTGTTGTACCGCGAAGGATAATGAAAGACGCCCTCTACGAGATATGGAGGAATCGTTCTGTAGAATTGATAGACGATTTCAAAGGAAACATCGGCGACCTTGTTTGTTATTTCTTTCGATCTTGTATTATTTCTGACGAGAACAAGGTACAGACAAGAAAAGGAAGACATCGGACGGAAGTCAGTCAGCCGTTAATTACCTAATCAATATCCTGTTTTATCGAGGTAACGATGTCCTAGCTGGAATAATTGAAATCCTGAAAGAATGTGGACATGAACATGTATGGCAGGCTTTCTTGAAACAGATGTAATGAACAGTCCTAGTTTAACGATATTCATTTACGCCTAATTCGTGTTTCTAATGTCATTACAAATGTCGCCCGAAACCGTAGAATACACGACTTGCGTACTGATTATACAATGTGTATTGTGTCTTAAAGATAACATTATACAATGTGTATTGTGTCTTAAAGATAACATTATACAATGTGTATTGTGTCTTAAAGATAACATTATACAACAATGTGTATTGTGTCTTAAAGATAACATTATACAATGTGTATTGTGTGTTAAAGATAACAACACTAATATTGATTGAAATGGACCTATATTGAACACTAATTCGTGTTAGTGATTTCATGGGAAATATTGAGTTACAGGTTT